CCAAGTTTACTCTGTCCAATGATCCATCAGCTTCTACAGTTACTTTCTCCAAATAACTAAGCAGGATTAAAATATCATCACGGCTTAGTGATGACTGGCAAGTCCAAACAAACAAGCTTTCAGCCAAAGCCTGCCGACATTCCTTGATAAGATCAGCAACCTAGTTCAAAATAAAATATTGAATTTGACACATTTGACACATAATAGCAGCGGAAGGAGCAACAGGATCAGCAAGAGACCAGTTCACTGCTAAGCCACAATTGTTATGATTTAGGCTGATCTCTGAGACAGGCTCTGACTAAAATTAAGGGAACTGCCAGGGTATTGCAGGGCTACTGGTGGGAAATGGAAAAAAGCAACGATAAACCATTTCTGTGACACTTTCAATAAATTGCATGGCAAAAATCATAAGGAATTGAAAGCAGTATGACATTTTGTCTTAATGGAATAACAATGGGACTGAAGTATGAGAATTCAAGTTCACATGTGTAACACTAATCTGCAATTTAGTATTCCATATATGGGTTGCATCTACTGTGTATATTTAAAACACTTAACACATTTTAATACACAGTGTCACTCACCATATATATGAGGGGTGGGGGGTGTTATGTATGCATGTGTATGTACACACACACACACACACACACACTGTATATAAATTATTCTTCCAAATACTGGAGACGTTGTCAAAAAAAACCGTGATAAAATTATACCCTTTTGGCTAATTTTTTTTCGGAGAGATGAGTATCACTAAACAAAGAACTGAATGCTCTCCAGAATTAGGCTTCTTGCATTTATTTACAGGACCAAATAATAAGTTTTTTAAAAATAAAGAACTGATTACTGTTATCTATTTCATTTTAGCAGAACAATCATTGTGCGATATTGGAAAATTCTAGATAACGTAACAATTGTGAATTAGAAAGGCCTTTTCAACTGCCACATTAGGAAAAAAAAACCAACATTTGCTTATTAAATTTATATGCCATTAAATTTATATGCCAGCATCATAGAAACAGAGATACGAACATTAAATGTTAAAATTAAATTAATGAGACTTCAGAAGCAGGAACCACAATTTTATCAAATTTGATTGCATTATTTGATTTACCTTAATAGGAATAGGCTATAATTTAGTAAACTCTTTATTATGATAAATTTTCACATGTATAGTAGCCATCTCTTTGTACACATAGATCTTTTTTTAATTTGTTTTAATTTTTAATTTGTATCTTTTTCTGTTTACATGTATCTTGGATTTATGTTAATGTGGTTACCTGCATGAAATTAAAAAAAAAGATTTTGAAATGAATGCTGCTTTTCTTAATTGTATTCTGATATTAAAAGTATTATATTTTAAAATTAATTACCTCTTTGCGATGTTTCTCACTACCCAGGCCTCGCTCTTTCTGTAATTTTTCAAATTCAGTGTTCACATCAATTTGAGATACCAAAGTCAGAATTTTATGAGTTAAACCCTGCTCCATCAATTCATCTGTAAACTGTGTTGTTATAGACACCAACTCAGGACTGCAATTGAAAAAGACAGTAGTGTCATAACTAACTTTATTTTGGCATGCTGCTGAATGTTCCTCAGTACTGTAGAACATTAGAAATTAAGTTATACCAACAATATTAGGCTTTCAAGAGAAGACGCATATCTTTTTAAGTAATAAAAGTTGGAATTATGTCTTGAGATAGAAGCAAGATGGCAACGTAACAAATTGTAACACAGATGCAAAGGCAGAATCATGTACTCTACAGCAGTGTTTCCCAACCTTGGCAACTTGAAGATGTCCGGACTTCAACTCCCAGAATTCCCCAGCCAGCGAATGCTGGCTGGGGAATTCTGGG